GTGGCCGATGCAGAGGGCCGACGCGCCTCGAGCCCCGCGCGTGCACCCCTCGTGCCCGCATGTTTTCGCTCGGGTCTTACGTTTCGGCACGGATTTCGAATGGGATGGAGTCGAGCCTTCGTCCTCCGACGGGTTCTTATCGGGAATGGTGGTTGCATCGGATTCGGCGTTAGCGGTGGACAGGCTTAATTCGAGGTCTAAAACGGGCTTCCTTTTGTTGGTTGCATTCAAATTCCCAATCGGGAACTTTGGATCGGACGGCTTCTTGTCGTCAGCATTGAAGTTGATGCTTAAATTGAGGTCGATCGAGGAATCCTCTTCATTTTCTCTTCCCAAGCACATGGTTGTGCAGGAATTGGACGAGAGGCCCAGCCCAAAAACCAGAGCAGATCCATCGTTGTTGAAAGGCGGATTGCGGGTGATGCATGTTCTCTTGTTGGGGGTAAAAGGGATCGGCACACCATGCAAATTAAATTCTAAAGGGGTAACAGTTGGGAAATCGAGTTTGGCCCAATGTTCGGACATGTGGGCCATTGTAATGGTGTAGTCAGGGGTGCCATCCATGCAAATGAGAATTCACAACTTGGATATATCAAACTAAAAGTGAAAAAAGGAAAAGATATGAACAGGAAAAAGAATAGGTTGCCGGACTTCAAAAGGAGAAAATCTAATAACTAAAAAATCGACACAGAGCTTAGAAGATGAAGCAGCCACCACTGACAAAGCCTGACGTGTCCTTGCGATCCATTATCAGAAGGTACGCACAAAAGTTTAGCACTTCAAGAATTGCAAGAAACGATCAAGCGAGAAGAAATTTTACATCCGTTGCCAAGAGAAAGTCTGTCATCCTGTCGCGAGAAGATGAATATAATATCAGCTCAGTTTTTCATAGATGAAATTGGACAGCTCGAAAATTGAGAGAATCCAAAAAATTATTATGATGCAATAACCCTTATAAGAAATCCCGAAACAACATAATGTTGCAGGTTTCTGAAAAGAAAAAAAAAAAACATACCGTACTTTTAGATACTTACTAAACCTAGCAGCAAGATCTGCAACTGAAGGGAAATTATTCCAACTATTTTACCTTTATTTGATGCTGGGACTGAGGTAACTCTATAAATTAAAACTGCTTAGAGTTCACTCCTATTCCTTTTCATTTTTACCCATTTCTAGACATAAATCATTAAATCAAAACTGGTTTTTTTTTTCTCTTCTTTTCTTTTTAATTTTTACATACACATATATATACAAGAGTGTAAGAAATATAATGCAAACAAAATCACGGCAGTAAATTCGAAGAACAGTGTAGCATAGAAATACAAGACACAAATTCAATGAAAACCACCAGCACTAATTCACTGGAAATTATTTTCCCGTAACATACATTTAACTAAGGTATTAAATTCAGCTTTGAACACACCCTACCAACAGACCATTAAAAGCAATCCAAAACCATTCACAGATTAAAAATCAATAAAACAGGGACGGAAATTAATTTCATCATTTCCAATAATTTGCGGGAAAAGGCAAACTTTTTTCCTACTTTGTTCCGAAAATAGAAACAAAAAAAACACGAAACAATCACAAACGAGATGAGAAGACGAAATCAATCTCAGTCATTTATACTGAATTGTATTTTCCCTACACAATTAAAGCTCAAGCAGCACGAGAAAACACAGGGATTCGATGAATACCTCAGCATAGAATGCGCCGCCTTCGGAGAAAACTAGGGTTTTTCGACGAACCGGCAAATCCGAGGCCGTCCAAGAGAGAGACAAAAGAACTCTGGAGAAAATGAGTGGAGATAACGAAGGGAAACTCGAATTAATATTGGACGCCGGGCGCATTTTAAGACATCGGCGCACGTTAGGTGGGGTGGCGTTGTTTATCCTCCGCGCTCGCGCGTTAATTTTCCTTGTGCGGTCTCGCTGGTCAAGGTCAACTCTCATTATTTGGGTAATATTTTGTGGTTTTTGTAATCGCACACAAAATTTATGTTACAGCCAGATTATATAGGGAGAAAAAATGTACTTTTGGTGATATAATTGTTTGAAATTATAAATAGTAATTAGATTATGGTCATGGTATTTATATTATGTTATTGCAGTTGATATAATTTGAAATGAATGTATTTATTTGTTGAAATGTGTGATTTGGCTCCATAAATATTGAGATTGTAATCATATTGCGCGAGAGTTGGAAAGTATTGCAAGATTGTAGCAATATTTCAAAACATAATGAATTATAAATAGCTTGTATTTAAAAAGGAAAAATATTAACATTATGTTATAAATCAAAACTAGTATGTACCGTGTGATGCACGAGACAAAAATATTAAATGAGTTATTTTCACAGGTTTTGTCTATTTAAGTATATAAAGGTTATCATCTATTTTTCACCCCTTTTAATCAGCGTTAAGTGTAATAAACAACAAGGTTACATTCTATTTTGCACGCGTTGTTTTTTATTCAAAACATTAAATATGAGCATGTTAGGGCTAACTTGTAAAATAATTAATATATTATCTCACTAACACATTTATAATAATATAAATTTAATTTTAATATATATATATATTTACTCTTTGATATAAGAGATAATAACATTTTACTTATTCTTGTTCACTATATAATACTTAACTATTATTTTATTATAAACTTTGTTGTCATATAATGTCATTATTATTTATAAAAGTTATAGAAGTTGTACGTCTTTTTTTCTTTTTATTTTATGTAATAAAAATATTTCATGCACGTTAGTATTATTTATTTATGTAATCAATTTAAAATATGTAAATAAATTTAAAATTAAATAGTGTATAAATATTTTACAAAATATACACATGCTTTTTTAGAATTTAATTTTGTATACTAATTAGGAAATGCCAAAAACTCAATCTCTTCTACGATCAAGATTTTTCTAATTCGTATTATAAGGATTTATAGTTTATTTAGCATACTCTGCAATGAAAATATATTTTACAAGAATTTAATTATAGAAATAAATGAAAATTAAAAAAAATAATCATGGGTGCCAATCATATTCAAATAAATCCTAAAAAAATATTTAATACATTTCAAATTTAATTTTTTACCATTAGTAAAATTATTTAATGTATCTAGTCATTATCTCTTAAATAGTAAATTATATTAATTTGAAGAATAATTTATTTTTTATATTTAACAAAATAAAGCTTAAGAAAAAAATTTATTGGCAAAGATTAATTCACCAACTTGATTTTGTCTGATTACTTAAAAAAAAAATTACCTAACCTGTTACGATTTTCCATAAATATTTTTGGATAAAAAGTGAATATTTATGAAAAAAAAAAATTAATATTATGGTTAGAACTTAACATATGGTGTAATATTTATCTTGACCAAAATATTATCAATATGGATCATGGAAATCAATCTTGTAATTTATTATAATAAATATTAATGAAAATATTGCAGATATTAATAAATTTATTTAAGTAATTTTTTGATCATATTTTATTTGATCTTATTTGAAAACGTGTATATGGAAGAAATTAATGTATATATTTAAAAAAATTCTAAAAATAATATATATTAAATGTTTCCTAAATTTTTTGCTACTATTTTTAGTAAATGTTAATTCTTATTATATATATATAGATGTACATAACATATTGAATTTTGATACATCAATCTTGGTATGATTGACAAATCCAGTTAAAAATTTCAGTTAAAAAGTCAATTGATAATTATAAGATTAATAAATTTAGCTAAAAAACTAGATAAGTGACTGATAAATTAACTTCAAATTGATACCAAATAATATATGGTTATAACAAAGACACGGTAATAAGTTAATTAATTATAAAAATAAATATCCCTATAGTTTTTTATTTATATACAATATTTTTTTAAGTTTGGATCCATTAAAAAAATCATCCTCCACAGTCAAACACATTCGAATACAAAAACTATAAACTACTAAATAAGATAAGATATAAACTAATTACGTGTTATTTACCAAATATTCTCAAAATAATAACAATGATATTCAATTTTGATAAAAATTTGTGAAATTAAATTTAACAAGACTAATAATAATTTGTATTTATATTTTGGTTCTAGCTTAAATTGTATTTATTTTGTAGGATTTATAAATTTTAGAGGACATTTTATTTATTTATTTTTTTCAAGCCACCGTGCACCGTAAGAACCAAGACCTACACACACCGACACACGAGGACACGAAATCGCAACCAAGTCCAGAATTGAAGATGTCGTAAGGGATGACGTCAATTTGACTGCCTAAGCAGCGGCTCGCAATCGATAAATAATGGTGCGCCGCGGTCCCCACTGATAGTTACGTTTTATTTGTTTTCCTTTTTTTCTTTATTTTTCTTTTTAAAATCATGTTTCTACCTTTATTTTCCCTTTGGAACAAGAAAAATTGATTTTAATTGGCAAATTGATGTTTGATACACTTTTTTTGCAAGTATATATAAATTAGCTTATAACTTATTTAATGAACTTATAAGTCTTTCATATTCAAATGGATTTGCTTTAGTAGTATTAAAACTCGAGTTTATCCCATAAACTTCTTTGAGTAGTTTTTCAAATAAAATCATAATTTGAACTAACTTATTTTTTAATTTTACCAAACACATTTATCATATAAGTTAGTTTTTCAGTCATAAATCATAATCAATTAAGTTTTAACAAACATAACCTTATTAAATGGTTGTTTTTTCCGGGCATAGTACCTTTCTCAAGCAGTACATAACAACTAGGGCTCACAATTAATCGAGGAAAGTTCGAACTTTTGATACTGGAATTTTTATTGACAGGTTCATACTTTAACGAGTTCGAGCTTTAGTAAGTTAAGTTGAACTTCCGAGCTACTCGTTTTGTTAAACAACTATAATTACCCAACATACTATTAAATATGTGAATGATTTGTGTGTTTAAAGTTAAACCACGGGAATTGTACATATTTGGGAGATGTATCAAACTAGAACTTAGAATAAAGTTTGAAATCTTAAAATCTATTATTTATTTTCTAAATCTTAAATACTTTTGTTTGAAATAATGAACAATTTTAGTACCGTTCACCTGTATAATATATGAATGAATATATTTTTTTTAGATTGATTAAACAACCCATTTACCGAATAATGTATCATCAAAATGTGAATTGTTGATTTTGAACCTGTCCCATATAAATATTAAATAAAGAAAGGAAAATGATAAATCAAACTGGATTAATGCTGAATGATATGATACAAATATCACAAGTTTTTTTGTCTCAACACAACTAGAGACTCGTACACAATTGATTGCCACCTTGGTACCTTTAATATATTTTTTTTATCACAATGTTTGGATGGGCAATATGTGTGTTGATAGAGATGATAAAATATATATTTTTTTAAAAAAAAATAATATATATACATGGGTAGTTGAATAATATAGCTTTTGAGAGGAAATAACAAATGGAACATGACCAAATTATGTCAACATAAGGTCCAACTCCAAACAAAAACTAAACAAAAAAATAAATAAATAAAATAAAATAATAAAAGTATGCATATAAAAGGATTTGGTAAAAATGCAATTGCGTTTCACACGGTGTAAACTCTAATAAATATATTATGTTTATCAATTGGGAGCTCTTCTTATTTGGTTGGAAAGGTATATCTTTTTCCTATCAAAAATAATTACCTGGCCGGCCTAAATAGAGAGCGAAAAAGATGGTAAATTGAAGTTTTACACCCCAAAAGTAAATTTTATTGTAATTCTTTAATATAGGGAAAGAATATTACAGGTATATACCATTCCAAAAGTAAATTTTATTGTAATTTTTTAATATAGGGAAATAATATTACAGGTATATACCATTCCAATATATCATAAATTCTGCAGTATATATCTTTATATTCATTCTTTTGAGTTCTCCTTTTTCTTGTCTAAGTGCAAAGAGGCAAAACAATGCGCATGAAAGGTTTGATGAACTCCAACTAGCTAGATTTTATTCTCTCTATTATTGAAAGAAAGTCTAGAGTATCTTAGTTTATGCTTTATTTTGCATTGTTTATGTGCATTTATATCTCACGGGCGTGTACGGAAATGGGCAAGAATACCATCAATCATTCTTAGAATAATATTAAAATATTCCATATTTATTAATATAGTTGTTGTTTTAGAGAAAAATAGAAAATTTAACAATTGGAGTATTAGTCAAAATATATAATTTATATTAAAAAATTTAAAATTACATATTTCAGTATTTCTTTTTCATAATAATGTTAAGAGAATGAGGATTTTATAGTAACTAAAAATATGAGATTTTTATTAAAATTTTCGTGTAGATATAATTGAAACAATAGTATAATTCTAAGCTAAATAGTTGATCTAAAGTGACATTTAAAACAAAATGAATGGAGTAATACTTAAGAGATATAAATATGTGGACACGCCAATATATATAAACTTCTTTCCATCTTACATTCTTATTTCAGATTAATTTTATTGGCCTCCATTTTTTGTAGTCCGCAATGTTTTATCATTCCATGATAGAACAGTATATCTGCAAAAGTACATATATCTGTGGATTTGAAGATAAATTAGGTCACGTTATTCATCATTTTAACGTCCAACAAAATCTACCTTTTGCTTCTTCCTCGCCTTTATTTTGCCGACGTATCTTTTTTGGACCAATATGATATCCCTTATAGATTCGTGTCATACAAATTAATGTAAGCTCAATATTAATCAACAAATAAATTATTTGTTGACTTGTTGATTATCCTGATAAGTGATATCCTAGTCGAGTAAAAAATTGGTAAAGTCAACTCTAGATGAAATGACGGTGAATTTAAGTATTAAATTATCACACAGTATATGAGCCAACTTAACATTTTCAATAAAATTGGCAAAGTCGACTCCTATATATATTTTTTAAAAAATAGAACATTTAATTTGAAATTATTAAAACAGCAAACTTACTGCTAAACTTTATTTTTGTTATTCTCTACTTACATCTACACACAAAAAAGATTTGATCCTAGTAACTACAATACAGTTATCATTTTTTTTTTTTACTATTAGATCAATATTAACATACACATCCATCATACCACTTGTGTGTTATCCAACGATTAAAAATTCAATAACTAAACTACATTTTGGTGAAATCTAACCCCCACGCAGTAAGTTTTCTACAGTTATACTCGTGTCTATTATCGCCTGAAAAGCAGTAGACAGGAAAAAACACGGCGTGTAACAAACATGGATTATTACTTAATTAAACTGCAAAAATGCAAACTTTCATTAATTTCCTCAAACGCTCCCGACAATGGCCGCGCTGTAGTTCCCAGCTCTAATATTAATATGATTCCTTTACATCAAAATGAAAGAAAAATGTGAAAATCAACTACACTTTAGAGAGTTGAATCAAGTACCTCACAAAGACAATGTGTAACCTGGCAAAGAGAATACAATATAAACATCTTCATCACCAATTTTCTCAATCATATGGTTTCACTTTCACATCACATCCCATTTATCATCAGTTGTCCTCCAGGCTCGTCGTGCGTTTTATCTCCATTGCCAATTTACTCCCGAGCAAGCCCGTTTATATCCCACCATTCGAGTCTCATATACAAGTACAAAACTATTCTCTATCCTTCTTCCTCTTATATTTGCTTGGGCCAGAACAGAACTTGCCTTTCGTCACATTCGGCAGTTTTGGGGCCCACACTCGCTGCAAATCACGGGCCTTGCCCACAAAAGGGGCACGCCTTCGGGCCTGCTCCCTCCTCTCATGGGCTTCGTGTAGGATTCGGGTGTACTCGTCCTGCCCAATCTCTTGCGGGCTATCGAGATTGTTTATAGGGAGCTGTGAGGTTTCACCTTCAGTAGAGAAAGAATGACTAATGTTATTGGTCTCAACTCTTTCATTAATGTTACACTTGTCCCTCCACGATTGGTCGCTGTCCTCACTGTTGAACAAAAGGATCGGAGTTTGTTCCTCGTCACCAAATGGCAGTAAGTCCATTTCTTTATATATCTTTTCCACGATGTCTTCAACTTTATCGATGTACCTGGACAAATTTAAGTTTCATGTTTACTTAGTCTATTCGGGAGTTCTTGTGAGTACGCAGTTTTCGAAGACTACTCCATTGTCATATTTTTCTTGGTACAATTGACAAAGGAAGGCATTTTAGGCTACTTATGAGAATCAGATTACTAGGCATTACCTACCTTTTTTTTTTTCTCAGTTTCATTTCTACAGACAAACTTGAAATTAAAGAGAAAGTAATATTAACTTATTTCAAGCAAAGTGTTTACCTTGCTCTAATAGTCCGTTCAACATAATCATATAAGCTAACATGACCATGAACTCCGCCTGCTATGAGGTACTGTATGATCTCTAATATATAACATATCTGCTTCATCAGCTTCTTTTTTCTAGATTCTCTGAAAATGGCTACACCTTCAGATCTCAGAATCTCTATACGAAGAAAAATCTGCAATTCGTATCTAATGGGAGTTAAGGAAACACTTAAATAAAAGGATAAGGAAATTAAAAAATGGCACTGGAAAATATAAACAAAGGTGATAAGGATACATTCTGATGATATTTTCAGTCGAACAGGATTTCAAATCCTGGTGTATATCCTTCATTTCCTTAGGCGACTTTAGTAGCTGTTTTACTAATTTACCAACACTGTCACTCTGAGAATCATCTGAAATTCCCAGCAATTGTTGACGTTCTGAATTACTTCCAATTTCACAGTTACGACTTAACCAGTGAACCGATGATTTGACAACATGCTCTGCCAGACTCTGCAAGTCCATTCCTGATTCCAGGCCATGCTGCATTTTCTGTGAAAGATTGTTGAAAAACTTTTCTGAAGTCTCCGAGCTTGGAACGAGATGAGCTTCATCTTCTGCTGTAGATGGTTTAGATAAAAATGCATTAGAAGCAGCTAATTCCCCGACTGAGTTGGATCCAGGTAGTGCTGTTGATAAATCCACATCGACTTTACTAATTTGTTTCATCCAGCACGTAAGGAACTTTAGCCTCTTGGAATTTTCATATCTAGCCCGGTAAAAATCAATCAAGTTTAAATTAGATCTTTCAAAGGCAGCTTTGCAGAAGGAATTCCATGTCATTTTCTGATATAAGTTTCTTTGGCTCTTTCTCATTTTCCCATCCCTGTACTGTATGCAATTACCAGATGTTGAGGGTTTGGTATTGGAACCACTAGTATTTCTAACTATAACATGACTACCGTCCATAACATAGAGGATTGCTAAGTGAGCTGTCAAAGGCTTCAGACAACCCATCAATGCATCTCCACTATTGCTCAAGAGGGACACAAAGGCTAAGTAACTTTGTATATGAAGAAAACTCAGGAACATTTGCCATGTAGGTAGTTGTTTTGTACAAGTAACTCCACCCTTCTCTTCATGCAGCATATCAAGTACCCTGTCTGCAAGAAAGTCATTGCCACTCTTTGTCTCGATTTTACCCGATACATGGAAAAATTCACGTACTAATAAAATCTCTGACGGCCCTCCAGTAATCTCATACTCGTCATATCTACAGACACTCTTAACATGTACCTTCACTCTCCCTTCACCTAAACCGAGAAAAAAACCATCTATATCATGCGAGCTCTGTTGATCTCTGGACTGAGTGTCACTCAGAATATCACCATTTTTCAGAGTGCAAGGCAAACTATTTATCTTCACAAACTCAAGATGACAAAATTTGCATTCTAATGGCATCCCGTGCACGTCCAGTATTTCTAAGCTCAGCTCCCCAGTAGATTCTATCTTATTAGTATAAGCATAATCCATAATAAATGACACCCCGATTCTTGGATAAATCAGACCTAACGGAAGCAAGGCTGATCCCAGAACAATCATATCGCTAGAACAAAAACCCCATCCCATTTTTTCAATGAAATTCCTCAAATTTAGTAATTCATCCCTACCATCGTTTTTCTTGATATCAGCCACTTCAGTTTCTAAGGCATCAGCTTTGACATCTACCCAACACAAACGAATGTCCCTCATAGCAAATGCCTCTTTTACAGCACAATACACCTCATCAAAATCACGCATTTCCAAATAATCAACCAAATTATCAACTGACTGAGAAATAGGTGAAAATAGAATAACCATATTCGAAGGAATTTTCATAAATCCGCTATCAATAGAAGAATCCTCACCAGACAAGCTATCATTTTTCTTCTCGGTCTCCCATACAGAGTCATGAATCAACTGGACCAACGAGCTGGCGGTATATGAAGCACGCGAGCTGAACGGCTCATTTTGCAGATCGGAAATGAGAGGAATGAAGTTTAAGGCGGTGTAGAGAGAATCTAGGGTTTGGGGAGCAAGATTGAAGGAGAGGGGCGTCGGCGTCGTAGAGAGGTGGCGGGGGAGAACAGCTTCGGCGCGGTGGGGGGAGAGGGAGGACAAGAAGAGCTTGAAGGCGGAAAGAGAAGCGGAGAGAGGAGGGAAGCGGAGGAGGCGGTCGGCGGCGCATATGACGGCGGCGATGTAGGAGGAAGGATTTCGCACGGCGAGAAGTGGGTGAAGATCTACGAGGAGGACCAAGCGTTGCGTTTTGGAGAAGTCTGGGGGAGCTAGATGCACCGGCGCCATCGGCGGGAGGGTTTTAATGCGGCGGCGGTGTTAAGGTGCGGTGGTTAAGTAATGACAGGAGAGGAAAAGTGAGACCAAGTTGAAGAAAAGCAGACAATGCTAATATGCGCCGATGGATTTTCAGATTTGGGCGGGAAAGTTTCAAAAATATGAGCGGGAGATTTCTTTAAATAGCCTCGGCGATTTTTAACCATTTTTAGAGGTATAATTTGCAAATTATTTGGACTTTACTGTTTTTTCCTCTCATGGGTTTCCCTTGTTGCCCTGTCCAGTTCTTTGGGAGTGATTGGATATGAATTCAATTGGTAAAAAATTAGGTTTTTTTTAATTATAGTTAAGTTTGAAAAAATGTGATATGGTTAATTGTTAGTGGATATATTAAAATAATATTTAAAGTAAAATAATTAAAATTGATTTGATGTAATAGTAGGAGAAAATGATTGGAAGTGATAGTTAGTTAAAATTATGTGAGTAAAAATGAATAGTGAATTAAAGTTGATGTGATGTGTAAGAATAATTGGTTGGTATTATTTAATTGTATTGATAATATTGGAGATAGTGGAGTTGAGTTAAATTTGAGTTTTGATTGGTTTTTTACTGTACAATTTGTATGCAATCGCCCCCTTAGGTTTTAGAAACGTAATTTGGCCCGGGGCCGAACTGAAAATAACCATTTGATCTGTTTATTTTCAAAAAATAAACATTTTGGTTTTTTTTTTTTATAAACTGTTTCCAATTCTTGTTTCTTCTTTTGTATTAATCTGAGTAACAGACTATGTATTCACAATAATATGAATGTTTTTTTTTTATTATTTTAAATGCACTATCGTTTCTATTCTTGATTTTTACTATCCGTTTCTTCATTTTCAACTAGGTTGTCGATTTTTCGTAAGTGAGCCATAATTTTTTGACCGGTTTACATTTTGTAATTCAGTTACTCAAGGTACTGCATTAACCAAAACGTTATGCTACGGTTCGAATCCTTTTCATTTTATGCACGATTCAATGTGTTAACCGAATCGATTATATTGTTTCGGTTAAGGTTTCAGTTCTTGAATACCGTCCAGGCAATAGAAATCACTGCACACAAATTGGCATAATAACCTTACATAATGCAGTTACAACTAGACTATTTCCAATCGAAATCCTTAAACAACAATATCCAAATAACTTTTTGCAGCGTTTAATTGTGGTCCCGTTTATTCACACCAACTCTTTAGATGTTCATATATGAGATTTTTTTCTTTCTTAGTCAAATTTTTGTCATTTTTTGCACTTTGGACATCAATACAGTTAATTACCTGCAAGCGTATAGCGAGATAGATAATCGGTAACGAAATGAACAAAACTTGCCACGTGATAACAGCTAAAACTGCAAGATTAGAGTAGCAATTCACGGTAGCCCCAACTGTGAAAATTAAGCTGAAAGGAATATCTAAATCAACAATACTCAAATCAGCTGGAATCTGTATATCAATCAATCAGAAAAATAAAAAATTAAAAAAAAAAAAATCAATACAGTACTCAAACTGGGAACTAAAATGAATCGGTTTTTGTACAACCAACCGGCAGCTGGGATACTTCACTGTTTTGGTTTGCCGGCGTTTTTAGGCACGAATTATTCCAACCACAAAACTTCAAGAGTCAAACACCACTTCAATTGTTTACTATCAATAGCATACTTTCATACTAAAATATATCTCATTTATTCGAATATATATGCATTAATTAATTCAGTAATTATATTTTTTATTTATTTTATTGAATAGTTACTACTAACTAAATACAAAGTCACGTTTAATGATTTTATATTCTAACTTTTTTTTCTAAACTATTTATTTAAAATAATGTTTCTTACAACTCATTAAACGATTTTTTTTATTAAAAATAATTAATTATTTTTTATGGCATAATCAAATCTCTTAAAAATCTTACACGATTGCTATAATAACAATTTTGATGTTATTTTATCTATTGAATTGGTTATAATCAACCAAGATTGTAAAAAATACACTATTGTAATCGATATAATATTTATGTAAGTTAAATAGTTTATATTTATATTGCTCATTTTTACTATTAACAAAATTTATAAAATGTGATATGTATATTATCTAACTTACTATTAAATTTGTTTGTATATATGCATGTACACAAGAACGAATACTAGTCGAACATTATAAATAAGACAGTTGACACTTTTATATTGATGACACTATTTGTTAACACATAAATATGCATATCATGAAGGTTGGACAATCATATCTTTGTAATAATTATGTATATATTAAAAAAAGTTATCATGAAAATTAATAAAAATAAAAAATGAAATTTCATAATATAAGTATACATTTTTATTAAAAAAATAAAATGGGTTGACCATCAAGTCGTTTCATACAAGAATTACTGTCATATTTTTTTTCTCTTATCCAATCATAATTTTTGTAATACTATTATGGTTACTTTTTTTTTGCATAAAACTGAATATTTATCCCTCATAATAGTTGAGTAAAATTGTATTTTATTTAAAAAACAAATTGTTTACTTATTTATCCTGCTTATGTTTGGATTGTTTTTCCACTCAAATTTCTGTCTCATTTATAGTTTGCCCAAGGTAAAAGACCACAATTGCAAATTCAACCCCCTAAAAAAATCAACCTTCGAATCGGAGCAACAGAACCATGGAGTACGATTTCAGAAAGCGCACCGGCGGATCGTCGCCGTACGATTCGGACATCCCGTCGTTTAGTCGGCCTCCCCCCGCCGCCGCACCGTCGTCTGCGCCTGCAGCTCACTCGCCGTACGGTCAATCGCCGTCGCTGTACCCGAAGATCGGCGGCGCCGGAGCCCACTCCTCCGCCGCGCACATCCGAAACCCCCCTTTCCACCACGCTCCGCCTGCCCCCTCCAGCTGTGCGTTTAACAAAAGCTCGTATTTTAGTGACTTTATTTGTTGATATCGATCGATGATGTGTTTTGTTTGTTTCTTGTATGTTCGATTTGCAGCTGGGGTTGGAATTAGGGTTTCTATAAAACCCGAATACCGGATCACACCACCTGTACGTTTATTATTAACTGTTCTTTTTTTTTTCTGTGTTTTTTAGTGTTGCATCTTCATTGATTGGTTCAAGGTAACAATTCAATTGATTTTTTCAGCCTGCGTTATTGCCACAATTGGGGGAAATACCAAGAAGTAATTTCCACTTTGATTTCGATTTCGAGAGGAATGTTTTAGCCGAGGCAGTGAAGGATAATCCCAACTGGAGCAGGCTTGGTATCGAATATGGTCCGCCAAAGGCAGCTGAACCGACACCTTCATATGTACGTTCCCAATTTTGCTAAATTGGACATTAGCAGATTTTCATTTGTTGCTCAAAATATGAATGTTCAGAACAGCTATTTGACTTGTTGCTAGATTGATGTGTCATTGTCGTTTACTGTTATGGTTATGGATTTTGTTTGTCTTGGAAGTTCAGTTTGTTCTAATTGAACAACCCGATCCCTTCCCCCACCTCTCTTTTTTGGGTGGATGAGTGCTCGGTTATTGTCTGATAGATGCTTTTTTTCTGTAATAATTCGACAACTTTTTGTTTGGTATTCTTAATGGATGAGTCTGTATCATTGTGTAAATTGGCCTTTTTGATTGCAGGGTTCTACTACAGATCCTATATTGAGCAAATATATAGCAGCGGGTCTTAGCAGAGAGGCTGTGCCTCTTGCGGTTGCGAATTACGGAGACAATCCCACTAAGGTAAAAGAAGCTCTTGCCCTTTGTAATATCTTTAAATTATATTTACTGTAAACATTATAGAGAATTCTCATGGATGGGAAGATTATGAACAATGTAAAAAAGAAGATTCTTTTGCTTGCCCTGATATATATCCACAGACAAGGTATTATCAATTGGTCTGAATATATCTAGGGAGATAGTTATTGATCTCTAGTGCTGCATATAATGAGGTAGGTTTTTAATGCTCTAACAGGAAAAACAAACTGAGAAAAGGAGAAGTGGTTGAATATGGAAAGCAAAGTGTTGATAATTTTTTGCTCTGCTTATAATCTCAGGTGAAGGAATTTGCCAATGGATTTACTCTTTTACGAGAAATGGGATTCTCGTCTAACAATGTTGCGGAAGCTTTGATCATGTATGACAACGATACAGATAAGGCGTTGGCTCATTTTCTCAACAGTCCATCATGAGATAACGGCGATGGGAAACTAAAGAGGAGATGAAGATTTGAAGTTGGTTGATGTGTTGAAAGTTTGATTTTGTTTGGTTGGATAAGTAGTGTGTGAAGATACTTATATGATTGTATAGGGATTCTCTTATATAAACGTTTTATATTCTTCTTTTCTACTGTGATTGATTTTAATGGATTTACTGTATTTTGGCCATGTATTGCTACTCTATGATATATTTGGTAAGAATCCTATTTGCCGATAGGGTTACCATTTACCAACATACTGGTGCGCTTATGATTCATAGAGTTGGTAAAATCGAAAATATAGCCAAATGTGTTTCGCAACTTTGAAAGAGAGATCACAACAATAAATTCAGCTCGGGCAGTTGCTTGCAGCATGAGTATGAACTATGAATGCTTCTTGATTACACATTCTTTGATTCATTCTATAGCAATAATCATGCCACATCTTGAAGAGCACGTTTTTTGCTTTTTCTTCAAGTAAAAAATATATTGATCAGTGTTTTGCTAAAGGCATCACAATTCAATTCAGTATGATACTTGGCAGAGAATTATGATCCCTACTACTCATCACAAAAGATACAAACTTCTACAATTCTACAATACATGTACCTATTGAAAAGGATTAATACTCATTTTGTACAAACACCAGCATGATATAAAAACCTACAAATTGAAAATATTATCACCCGCGCCAAAAATAGCAGCACTAAACTGCCGCGTGTTCAGATCCCCAACATCTCCACCCTCAAGGGCCGAACCAAACCTGTCGAGCCACTGGACCGGGCTCGGGCTCTCGGCCTCCTCCACCCAATCTGACGTCATATCCAAATCCTCCATCTGAAGTGGATCCATTTCCGAGTGGTTTGTTTTCAAGGATTTTTCCAGCCTCAGATTATAATGGACGTAAAGCAAGTCGTTAAGAGTCTCCTTATCGATTTTGTTGCGCTTCTCAGAGTGTATTTGTTGGGAGGCTGTCCATTGCTTCTCGAAATTGCAAGTGCTGCAGACTTGGCTTAGTATTCGAATGGCCACACGTTGAAGCATGGGTGCCCCGTCCCCAAACTGTTCCCACCAAATGCCTGCAAACGGGTTTTTCAGAGGTTATCTAATTCGGTAGCTTTTGGTGTTCATGAGTAGATTTTTTAACATAATCGTTTAAAAAAAAAAAACAAAAAGAAAAGAAAATGGCAACTCACCAGGCGAAACAGTATCGATGGCCTCCTTCGCGAGGCTACACCCAAACATCCCACTTCCCCTCGTAAACAAAAGAATCTGCTTAGTTATGTCCCGCCTCAACTCAGGAGTCGGCAGAAGCTTCTCGAGCACCCTAAAGAACTCCTCCTTAATCGACCCAAGGAACTTAATCTCGGGATTATACTGCACGCCCGGGTTCAAGAAAGCCGCCGCCGAATGCAAAGGCGAGTGCAGGCTATTCTGCCACTTTCTATCCACAATGTCTAGCAACGTTTTGCATTTCACCTCGTCCATAATGTAATAAGTCCGTATCGACTCTTTCGCCCGTGTCATCATCTCGTACACGAACCCCACGGCTGGCTTCCCGCCCAAAACCTCCCTCATCACCCTCAGAAAAGGCTCGGAAACTGCCACGCTCTCCTCGACTGCCCGCCAGAACTCGCCGTCGTCGAGAATCCCGACACATGTCGCCGTCTGGGGCCTGTTCGCGAAGGCCGGATCTGTCGTGAACTCGGGGCTGTTGAACATGTGTTTCAGTCTCGACTTGTGCTTGAGCATCGACTGTAAGGAGAGGAAATTCGAGACGTGTTTGGTGACCCCGGTTTTAATAATATCCTGCCCTCCGGTGAAATTTTTCATCATATCGAGTGCGGGTAAATAGTTATACACGTATTTCGAAACTGCCTGCGCTTGCAAAATACACTGGTTAACCCAGTCGACTTTGCAGAACTCCTCCAAGATCCCATTCATGCACTGGGAAGCGCAAGGGGTCACGAAAACCAGCCCGTAATTCTGCAGGATATGGTTTGCTAATCCTGGGAAGTTTAAAGCATCGTCGATTATGACTTGAACCACGTTCTCAGCCCCAAAATCCTGAATCACCGAGTCGAACAGGTCTGAGAGGTACTTCACGTTCTTATAGTACAGAGAGGCATCCACCGACTTGTGGAAGAAGGTTCCGGAAGGAGACGAAACGAGAAAATTGATCAGAGCCCTCGATTTCCCATCCGCCCACGTCTCTGCTATCACCGTGCAGCCAGTCATGGCCCACTCCTTCTCGACGCCCTTCGACCACAACTGCATCTCGGATTTGATTTTCCCCAGCCAAGTCGCCCTTAACGATTCCACTGTGGGGCCCACAAATACATTATTATTCCCACATTTTTTTACGGCGTCGATCATCTGGTGGTAGGAGGGGGAGCGAGCAATGCCGAAATCCAATTTATTCTCGAAAAAGAAAAGGGCGATGCATCTCTCGGCGTTTTCGTGTTCGTCTCTTGGGGGGATATTTGAAGGCGTGATGGAAGAGACCGGTTTTGCGATCAACGCCTGTGATTGGATGGGGGGCTCGGGAGGAGATTTGACCTCGGGTGATAAAATTTGTCTTCTTGGAACTGGATTTTCCTTGCCGTCATCTTTTAGCGCGATTATTTCTCTCACCTTGTGGGACACATCGTCCCTGACTTTGGCACATGGGTTCACGCCTTTGCTCGGGAGTCGAGAGAGATGGTGCTTTAAGCGGCTAATGCCGCCATTGAGAATTCGGTCACAGAATTTGCACCTCACCTTGTTGCCTTCCAGTCGGTCAGCATATTCCCAGCACGCATCTTTTTCGCGAACCACTGTCCCGAAAAATGAAAGAACGTATCTTTTACAAATCAATACTCACTTGCATTATGTGTATCGTATGTTCTTCCAAATTATCAAATTATTTGACATGGATATCAAAAAATGTCGCCAATAATGAAGAACCAAAGGCAAAGTTAGCTGAGTGCTTATAGGAAGTAGTACATTACAACATGTTTGACAGACAACTTGAACATGAAAAAGAAAATACGCACACGATTAGTTCAATTTCGGCATAAAAGTTTTAACAAACGGGGATATTAGCTTGATTCAAACAACAGAATTGCATAACGGAAAATGCATTTTATTGTCGCAGATTTTCCGACTATACTCTCCCGATCTAAATATCCCCTTCAATCAAATAGTAAATACTGTTTTTAGCCACTAATGTTACACGCAATAAATGCCAATAATCACCTATGTAATCAAAGAAGATTAAATATCAAATGACATTTTCACAAATTAACATGTTCATCGTTCACACAAACAAAGAAAAGAGGGAAAAGACAAATACGATTGAACTCACTCAGTGACAATCTCTGCTCCTCTACGCTTGCATAGAACAGCACAGAGAAGTAAAACCTGAAAACAAAAATGGTAAACAACAGTCAGCAAAAGCCCAGAAGTTCAATTGAGCTACAGAACATGGTGGTATATACCAGTAATCTTAGCAGCGACACCGTTTTCATCATTTAAACTTCTCTTCAAACAATTTCTTACTGCAATTGCCTTCTATTTGTACAGGGAAATTTCTACTTTACCCTAAAAACCCAAATCGAGAAACAAAATAGGAAGTGGAAATAAAATTCGGAGCTTCTGATGATCAATAATGCTCTGTGTTCCTAGTTCGTTCATTTTCGATCAGCCATAATCGTCTTTGAATTATGAGCTAAACGATGATTTTTTGCAAAATTAATTGTGTTCCGCCATTTTTAACATGAGAAAAAAGAGAACTTTTAAGTGAAAGGAAAATGAAAAAGGAGAGTTAAGGATTGAACGGACGAGAAAGTGAAATTGCAGAGATGAAGAAGAAGAAGAAATACCTCGAAGATTTTGCAGATCCAAAGAGGGACGAGAGATAGTCGCTCGTGTTTTTCTTTCTCGCGATATTTTGAGAGTTATTTGGTGAAGGGGTCGTTGTTGAGCTAATTATTTTATTGCAACTAATTTCTATTTTCCTTGAATTGTTGTGACTTGTGAGGCGTGACTACTACTTTACAAATTTATTATTATTATTATATATTTTAAATTAGTAATGTGACGTTTTAAAAAAAAATAAATAAAAGACATAAAATAGATAATATAAATATGTATCTTTTTTGCATAATATGATGGGTCGACCTGTTTAATAATTAAATCGAATAAAAAAAGTGATGTTAACAAAATTATTGAAAATTAGTAGATTTTATATTATCTTCCTAGACTAGAAGTACTTCTTGAGTGTGTTTGATAAATCAAATAAGTTTGGTTTTATAAAATAAAGGTTTTAACTAAATTCAATGTTTAGCTGGCTTTGTCGGCTACTTTTATCGCCCGATTCTATTACGTCATCTGGTTTTTTGATTTGTTAGAATATCATTTGTGAGTTGTCGCACATCATTCATATATGGAAAATAGACCCACCTTATAAGACTAATGGGCTACTACTCCTTCCACCAATTGGTTTTGGGATGGAACCCCATTTGGGCTTCATATGAGTTTTTCCCTTCTTTCATGGTGTCCTTCATGGTAGTGGGCCAGCACCTATTTTCCCCCAGTTTCTGTCATGGTATCAGAGCCGGTTCTATCTTGGACTGTGTGATGACGTACTCATTGTTTATCCCCCACGTACTCGTTTATGGGAGCCTGTTTGTAGTAGGCTTTGGGGTACCCAGCCCAGTTGGGCTTGGGCTTTCGAAGGACTCACAAGTGAGGGGACATGTTAGAATATCACTTGTGAGTTGTCCCACATCGTTCATATATGGAAAATAGACTCACCTTATAAGACTAATGGGCTACTCCTCCTTCCACCAATTGGTTTTAGGATGGAATCCCATTTGGGCTTCATATAGGTTTTCCTCCCAATTTCTGTCATGATTAATAGCTATAATCTATCATCTACAAATTATTATCTCAAAAAAACTCAATGATATGATTCATAGCTATAATCTATCATCTACAAATTATTATCTCAAAAAAACTCATTATCATTGTATTTTTCGTATTTGTCTTTGTAAAAATTTATTTTCTGGAGCAACATTTTGCTAAACTGTTTTTTTTTTATTATATGTTGTAGGTAATAGTTTCCAAACTAGCAAAACTCCCCTTTTTAGTAGTGTGTTCTGCACATAATAATTTGAAAATATAATAAAAAATAAGATTATAAAGAAAATCATATTTTGTTTTTTCAAGGACTAGTGTGTGGCCCGTGCGATGCACAGAAAAACAACATTAAGATTGTATTATAAATTAAATATAAAATAATATTAATTATGATTTATTCATTGTTTTTAAATTAAACCGTGTTGGACACAGTTCGACCGGATGGACTGAGAACCGGTTTATAACCAGTCTATTTGCTTGAATAAAAAATTTGATCTCAAATCCGTCAACACCAGTCGGTTGGACTGGTAGGATTTATACGATTTTCTAAATAAATTTTGTTATATTTAAAATTATTTTAAATAAAACTACATATTTAAATAAAATAGAAATTTATAAATTATTTATCAATTTGTTTAAACACTTGAATTTATAAATTGTTTAGATATCTAAGTAACACATTTTATTTAAATTTATTAAAAAAAATACTATATATATATATTATACATCTTTTAAATTGTTTATAAATTAAAATCTAAACAAACCACAAATGATTTAATAAAATAGCTTGATTGTTTGAAAACCTTATATTTACTATACATTAATAAATATTATAATAAAATATTATTTAATTTACATAAATATTAATAAAATGATATATAAATATTCATAAATCATTAAACATGTTGTCATAAAAGTATTGTTAATACGATTATTTGAAGTTTTGACTACATCACATTCACGTAATAAAATATTTTCAATATAAAATTTATATTTAGGTTCAATAATCGATTTGGTGTAGTCGAATTGATACATAACTTAGTCACTTGGGACCAACCAAGTTGTGTCAAGTTTTTTGACTATTTTAAATATCACATAAAAGTAATTCAATCAACCTGGGCAATACCCTAATTCAATCACCCGATTGATCCGAAGAAATTTTCTTATTTTCTTTAAATATATTTAATTTTATGAAATAAAAATATATTATGATTCATATAATAAATGTCTACACCAAATGATAGTATATTAAGATTATAAATTATATATCTAAAGATGAATTAATTATTTTTTACTTTATGCATATTATAAAAAATAAGCACAGTAATTTTTAAAAAATTAAGATTAATTGATTGATTATGCAATTTAAAGAATATTTTTACCGTTCAATTTTTTTTAAAAGGCACAAATATAAAGACCGAGATTCTAAAACTTTTGTTATATTTTGAATTAAGATTTTATAAATATAGAGACCGAGATTTTAATATTGTTCGTTGTTTCTAAGAAAAAAAAAATTAAAAACATACACACTTAATAAATATTAGCCGGATTTTTTAAATAATAAGGTAACATTTAATGTTGTATGATTTTTAAAGAAAAAATAAGAAAAATAATAAAACTTACTATTTATAGGCTGCATTAAATTCTGACTATTTTTTTGCTACTATTTTTTATAAATGTTAATTCTTATTATATATATATAGATTTGTCAATTGTTCTATTCAATTTCAGCTCCACATCACAATAAAGATTGAGAACGTTTTGTTCCAATAACAAAACTCTGTTTATATTGTGATATTATCTTGTCTTGTTCGAGAAGTGTTTTAAGAAATGATTATTGTCATATAAACCAAGGCAATATTATTGTTGTTAGGTAATGTTAGGCAATGTTTGAAATTTATTTGATTAAATTGTACAATTCAAGAAATATAACTAAATATACCAATCATGGGTCGATACTCGATAGTCAATGCCTCAACGTAGTTTTCTCTCTCTTTTTATTTGATTTATCGTTTCTCAATTATCTATCATATTCAAAGTTATGAGTGCTGATTAGCTGGAGATCAGAATACATGTATATACGTATACATATTATAGGAGCATATAATATCGTTCTCAGTAAGATTAATGCATATTATATTACATAATAAGAGAATTACGAAAAATTAGCAATAAAAAGATTTGTGAACTCGTGACACAATTGCGCGAAAATTGCCGCCGATATTTGGGTAATGCTAATAATCTATTCACCAGTACAATACCCATGTATTACACGGGTGTTCAATTAAAAAGCTTTTGTAAAAAATATTAAATTTTTTATTTTTTTAAAAACTAAAATAGTTAAATTTTATATAAATTATTTTGGGTTTTAATTAAATTATCAAATTATATATTTTTAATCATAATAAATAAATATCCGTACATTAAATAAAAATGTCAACCCGTGTTGAATTTTTTTACTTAAATATATCATATAAAAATATCGATATTATTTACTATTACATAAATACAAAAATATAATCCCATTTACACGACATATAAGATAAGAATCATATTTATTAACCCGTGTAATTCCTATATTTTTATTAGACCCACTATTTTAGATTATATTGTAATAAAATATAACATAAATATCTCATATAAAAACCTCATATTTATATATTGATACATATTTTTTATTTTTATTTAGGACCAGTGTAATAAATATTATGTAATTTAATTTTTTCTTAACTTAAAATCTTCATTATTAATACCAAGCTAGAAATAAATTGTTTTAAATTGGTTTTGACATTAAATGTTAGTTATGGAAAAGTAAATAAACTTATCCCATATAAAATTACTGAAACAAAGTGTTATAAATTCATAAAATTTAATAATTTCATTGATTGCAATTACTCACATAACTAAAGTAGCATTTCACACTAATAAAAGTTAGGCAGGTCTAACGACAAAGGCAATTATACTTTTTCAACAAAAACTAAAATGTCATACCGTAAGAACATAAATAAAAATATGACATTTTGTAACATAATTATAGATTTTTTATACAAAGGTATGACGAGCAGACCCGCGTAACGATCAATCTGCCCCATTAAAGATTTGACGGTATGTGTTTGATTTAACTGTAAAAATCTCAATAACAGCAATGCGTAATTTTCAAGTATAGGACTGAAAACGAGTCAAGCCGCTCGCGAGCTCGAGCCCGATTAGCTCGATCATGAGTAAGAGAGTCGAGTCTTAAACATCATTTCAAGAGGCTCATAAGCTCCGCGAGCCACTCAATATTTTATTTACATAAATACAACATATAGTTTATTTATCGCTATTTAAACACTAAGGCAAAATTTGTCTATTAAATTAATCATTGAATAGAGTACCTTTATATTTAAAATTGAGCTGTTAAAAATTTGAGTCGCACTCGAGTCATGTTGAGCATCAAGTCAATCTCAAACATCGAGTTAAACTCGAGCATTCTTAAATTTGTGACGAGTCAAGTCAGACACAATTTTACATAATTCGTCGAGTTTAAATAGTGAATTAAAGTAGATGTGATGTATAAGAATGATTGAATAGTATTATTTAATTATATTAATAATATTAAAGACATTAAAATTGAATTAAATATGAATTAGATTTTGAGTTAATTAAATTCTGAAAATTTTTGTATACAGACATTAATTTCTCAACAAGGTCCATGACTCCACTCAACAAGGTGGCCGCCTATTTCAATCTCCTTTTTTCCCTAAACATTTGGCCCCACCTGAAATGTTTGCGCCTTAAGCTACAGCACATGGAGTTTTCCCTCTTCTCCCGCCATTAAAGCACCAAAAAAGTTCCAAAAAATAAAAAAATAAAAAAATAAAAGGGTAAAAGGAAATTCCACTGCCCATCTTCCTGAAAACCCCACTCAATCATTTATTATTCTGTCTCCTTTCACCTTCTTCTAACCCCTCTCAATCATTTCCGCCCATTTCAAGCAAGAAAAATCACTCCTTTCCCCCCATTCAGCATTCATTAATCCCACCAACTAACCGGTCTGTGTTTTGGATTCTTGCATTTGGGTTTTCCCCTGTTTCATTTTTATTTTTGTTTCTGTTTTTTTTCACCTTTTCAGTCGCACGATTTTATTCTTTTTAATGTTTTTGATCTTCTTGGGAATTTTCGTAGCTGTGAATCTCTATAAGAGACTTATCTGGTAAGTGGGTTGTCGGGCCTGGCCGAATGCTCTTCGATCTCCACCTTACAGGTAACCTATTTTCACCCACTGAGCTGAATTTTGTGTTCTTTTCTTTATTGGATTATTTGATATGGAATTGAGTTGATAGTTAGATGCACCGAACTCCTGAATGGGGCTATGAAAATGGTGAACATTTTAAAATTGAATAAATTAAAATAAAGCCTATTCTTTTAAAATTATCACGGGCCTAGTTGGATGCCACAAAGTTGAAAAAATGAGCAGGTGATCTAAGTCAATGAGGGTGGGAAGAAAAAAATGGCTGGTGTCCGGTGGTTGACCTAACATGATTTAGAATATTCCCAAAAGATTAAAAATATAACTTTATATTTTATTTATTTTCCTCTTACCAATTATTGTGGTTTATAGAGATGGACACTGTTTGAGAAGCTGAGGTTTTTCATAGTTTCTCACCAAAAAGACTTGAAACAGAGGAGAGATGGGCATCAAGTTAATCTTTACAGCAATTTCACTCTATAGCTTGCTGTGTTCACTAGCTGCACCCGAGCCCGTCGAGGACAAACGGGCCCTTCTCGAATTCATCTCCAACACTCGCCTCTCGAGGAATCTCAAATGGGATGAAAATACTTCAGCTTGCTCTAACTGGACTGGAGTCACTTGCAATCATGACAACTCGAGGATTATTGCCGTTCGGTTGCCGGCCATCGGATTCCGAGGCGTGCTCCGGCCAAACACCCTTAGCCGATTATCGGCCCTCAAGATCTTGTGCCTGAGATCCAACGGCATTAACGGCCCTTTCCCTCGTGACCTCCTTAAACTCCCCCACTTAACCGATCTTCATCTGCAGTACAACAATTTCCACGGCCCGTTGCCTTCGGATTTCACCGTGTGGAAAAATCTCTCGGTTTTGGACCTCTCGAACAATGCTTTCAACGAAAGCATTCCATCTTCAATCTCAAATTTGACCCATTTAATGTCTTTAAATTTCGCAAACAACTCGTTTTCCGGTCACATACCCGATCTCTGCATGCCGAGCCTCCAGGTGTTAAACCTAAGCAACAACAATCTAACTGGGCTCGTCCCTCAGTCGCTCTCGAAATTTCCCCGATCAGCCTTCTCGGACAATAATAATATTTCATTTCCGATCCTACCCCTTCCGGACCCTTCCTCCAATGCTACCCACAAAAAGCACTCGTCCAAATTAAAAGAATCACTCATTCTCGGAATAGCCATCGGCGGGTTTTTGGTCGTGTTCATTTCAATAGCGCTGTTATTGTTCGTCGTGAATAGAAAGAACAACAAAAGAGACGATACAATGTCGAACGCATCTCAAAAGAAGGAGAATTCGGTGAGGAGCATGGCCTCCGAGTATCAGGGGGAAAACGGGAAGATCACGTTTTTCGAGGGGTGCAATCTGGCGTTTGACCTCGAGGACTTACTGAGGGCTTCAGCTGAAGTACTCGGGAAGGGCAGTTTCGGAACTACTTATAAGGCGGCACTTGAGGATGCGACTACAGTTGTCGTGAAGAGGTTGAAGGAAGTTGTTGTGGGGAAAAGGGAGTTTGAGCATCATATGGAGATTGTTGGGAGTGTGAGGCATGAGAATGTGGTCCCACTCAGAGCTTATTACTATTCTAAAGACGAGAAGCTCGTCGTGTATGATTATTATCATTGGGGGAGCGTATCGGCATTGCTTCACGGTAATAGTTTAAAGCTTTTTTTCTTGAACTTTTTTTCGTTTAGTTCTTTCTTGCAGGGTTTTTATTTATGATTCTAAGCTAGATATTGTGCCGATTTTTATTCTTGAGTAAGTTTTTAATCTTCATGTATGGTGATTTGTTATGTGGCTTGTTTGATACTTATTCTTTCCTTCAAACCAAAGCCATATTGATGTCTTGCTAGTGTTGATGAATATTCTTAGGCTTAATCACAGATCGTTGCTTAATCTCGACTTTTCTTGACGACGATGCACCTCTGTAAGAAAAATCACGTTAGACGGGCCGGGTTAGTTGTAAGTTTCAAAGATAAACCGGTTTTTTTCTGCATATGCTTGATGCCAAAAAGTGCTATAGATTTATAGTTAGTAGTCATTATCTTCTTGCCCTGTCCTTTTTCAACTAAATCTTATGAGATCACCTTCAATGTTGGCCTAACAATTGACTAAACCGGAAGTTCGTCATTTTCCCCTTAACCCAATCGAATAACTGAACATTTTTTCTTTTTGCAGGCAAACGAGGCGAAAACGGGTCCCCACTTGACTGGGAGGCCCGTCTCAAGATTGCAACGGGGGCCGCTCGTGGCCTGGCCCACATCCACTCCCGTTGCCACGGAAAGCTCATCCATGGCAACGTGAAGTCCCACAACATCTTCCTAAACCCGGCCGACCTCCTCGGCTGCGTGGCTGATGTGGGCCTTCCCGCCGTAATGGGCCCAACCGCCTCTTCGGGCCGGGCCTCGGGCTACCGGGCCCCAGAGGTCACTGAGGCCCGCCGGGCCTCCCAGCCTTCGGACGTGTATGCGTTAGGGGTCGTCTTCCTCGAGCTCCTCACCGGAAAATCCGCCGTCCACTCGTCGGCCGGGGGGGAAGAAGTCGTTCACCTCGTGAGGTGGGTCAACTCGGTTGTTCGGGAGGAGTGGACTGGTGAGGTTTTTGATGTCGAGCTTTTGAGGTACCCGAATATCGAGGAGGAGATGGTTGGATTGCTGCAAATCGGGCTTAGCTGTGTGGTGAAGATGCCGAGCCAGAGGCCCACGATGGCTGAGGTGGTTCGGATGGTGGAGGAGGTCCGGTGCTTTAATACGGGCCGAAGCTCGATGGGCCTGGCCCAGGCCCGAACTCCGAATGCTTCTTGAGTTGGTTTTGTTTTTCTTTCTTTGATAAGTTTGCGGTATTCTTATGAAATTATGGATGCCTCCTTTAAGTTTGGTTTTGTTTCACAAAGTGCAATACTGGTGGTGGGGGTGATTTTGAGGCGGACATGGACTTTGAGGGGGAGTTTGTAATTTTTTTAAGAGGTGATTGGGATTTTTGTCAGGGGATTAGGGGGATAAGACCGGATTAGTAGCCGTAATTAGTCCCTTATTTATTCTGTGTCTGCTGGTCCACATGGGTTGTCGTGGATTTGGTTTTGTGATTCTTGATTTTGGTTGGGAAATCGTTGACATATTCGTACTTGTAAAAGTCGCGGGCTATCTGAAGTTGATTGAAATACGTTGATTCATTGGTTTTTTCGACTGGATTTTCTAGGTCGCTTTATTGAATTGGATACTAATTTTATGTTATGAATGAATATTCAAATGATTTGGTGGTTTGCTATCAATCTAGAGTTTTTTTTTTTATTCGAAACNTCTTTTTTTGTTTTACAATGAGGAAAATGTCTATATTGTGGCTAATGGTACGTTTGCTATCCTATTATTATAGTCTGTAGAGCCTATATTTTTATGGGAACTAGTAAAGTGCACGTGCGATGCACGTGGTATCGAATGATTTTTGCTGAGTAAGTTTATAAAATAAATTTATTTATTTATTAAACATTTCATTGCAGGAATCAAATAAAATATAGAACAAATGAATTCATATGTGATTTTTTTTATTTAGAATTAGCATAATGATGTCCTAATATAAAAAGAGTGAAATAACGTTTTACAACCTCCAACTAAAATATATAAAATACAAATCTTTAATACAAAAACCACTAAAATTTTCTTTCATCTTTCATATAAGAAACATTCATACTCGCTGAAGTCTAATACATCAATACTATTGCAAAATTTCTCTTAATTCATTTGGAAAAACGTTAATTTTTTTCAAACACATAAGAAACATTCTGACCCAACATATAGTCAAACTTCATAATCGTATAATCTTTATAATATGGTACTTCTACTAACAATGCATAAATATCTCTATAAAATAACTAACTATGTCATTAAAATTGCTGGTATTTTTTTATCATTGTATAAATTACTACATTCCTCTGTCTCTAGACATATTGTTGCCTACCTCATTGATGCATCGCCCCACGAGGTGGGAATGAATTTTATCTCCAAATAAAAGTTGACTTTCCAAAATTTTGGTTACATGTTTCCAAAATTTTGGTTACATGTACTTCTCCCGAGGTACTAAATTATTTTTTGAAATCATCATACATTACTTGAAAGTACTCTAAAGTAATTGCACATATGTTCGAGTACAATATACCGATGAGATTATAAATATTTCTATAAAAAGTGACAACTTCATTCGAACATTCAAAATTGTTTTGATACTCCGACATTGTTGTTTATTTGGAATATAGACGAACATATAATCTATTATTTGAAAATTATTGACCATCATGGTTGTTGCAATGATTTTAGAATTGTTTATCATAATATCTTTCACATTCGTTTAAATATGCAATATTTGTGTGCCTAATAACTTCTTTAATGCTTTTATTGTCCAACATTATTCATCATACAAAATGATTATAAAATTCAAGATAAAGATCAGTTCTTTATTCTCCAACAATGACAAAACAAAACAATCAAAACAATGAGAAAATATTGAGAAGCATATCATTTGTTAAAATATTTGATAGGAGAAGAGTTAGAATTCTATTATATTATGATACTCTTAGTCATCTGCAAAGTTTATTATTATGGAGTCATGATTAAAATATACATTATGTATTATAAATTTTTGAATTTTTGAATTATTTAAAATTAAAAATAAATAATATAGGATCATTATTTATGAAAACCAATTTTTTACAGAGTCCCTATATTTAAACGCTAGCAATAAAAAAGTAGTAGTTTTCAAAGACTTTTTGTTCGTAAATATTGATATTCATACTTCTCTAAGAAAATTCACATGTATTCTTTTTCTCATTGTGTTACTATTATATTATTTGTTTCTTATTCTATAGACAAATAATATTTTATTTGCTAAATAATTAAAGCACATTTATATGTAATATTTTTTGTATGTGTTTTATATAATGATGTTTTCAAATTTTTTTTTTATTAGGCTGCAACTACTATAATCACATAAGATATAATGTAAATTTAATATATTTGATAAAAATGTACTTTTTATACGAATTATTAGATTAAAAAGTTTACAATTTTTTCCAATGTCTGATAAAATATTAGGTAACTAAGTTATTTTCATAATCACTGAATACATATATGGTACCACGATTATAGGGTTCTTTTTCAAGCAGTAATTGAATAATAGTTTAACGTCCAACTCATTTATTTGTCTTTTTAATTCACATAGCTAATGTTATCTCATTTCTCTTCTCTGGCTTAGTCTTTTCCTTCTTTTATCTATGATTTCACTTCGCTTCGCTTCGTTTGTACCTAAGGTGCATTCGCCATAGTTTTAGCATTACGGCAAACCAGTGTCAAATATATATCGGGAATGGGCGCTCTAGCTAAAATGTGGGAATAGTTGTAAGTTTACCTCCATTTTTTTTTATTTTATTTGTAATATGAATTGTTTCAAATCTATGTAAGAAAAATATACCACATGTTTATCTTATGTTATTCTATACTTAATAAAATTGATTTAACTTGAATAGATAAATTAATATATACTATAATTTTAAGTTAATTTATTATTTTAAAATTATTACTGATATATATATATATATATCGATATAAATAATTATATTATTTTTATTTTATTTTCAATATATTGGTCAACTCAAACATTATTGAAAAGAAATGATGTGATATATTACATATAAAAAGAGTAACAAATAAAAATATGAAGTATTTCAAAATTAAAAAAATTAATGAGAGAAAGTAATTAAATTTTTAACTAAAAATTTTAAGATTAACATACCCAGTTTTAAATAAATGTGTATATATATATATATATATATTATGTACCTAAAAGTTCTAGTTAAAATATATGTGTATCTTAAGTATGTTTTATATTTCTCATTAGCCAGCTCCAATTGATATTGTACATTAAGTAATTTTATCAGTATTTTTACTCTTTGATTTAATGAGAGCTATAAGTTTTCTCATCATTCTTACCCTTATTTAGTTATTATAATACTAATAAAATAATTAAGGACCTTTCAAAGTATCTTGTTTGTTTTGAAACAAAAATTACTTATTATCATAAATTAAACGACAATTATATTGAATGTGTTATATTTTCTATCATATCAAAATTTTCATAATAATAGTTGCACACAATATTATATATAATGCAATTTTTTTTATAGATTTGGAGTCCTACTTTTACTACAAGAAAATGAGAAAATTCCAACGAAAATTACAACAAGAATATAACGATCTTCTTAAGTTGAATTGAGAAAAATCATGTTTTTTGGTTTCTTAAATATATTTTATTTTATTGTGACTGTATTGATTTATTAAAATGTATTACAAAATGAGAAAGGTGATAGATTAATTTATAAATTACAATGACATGTTATTTTGATGGTATATTTTTTCTATTAACTAAATAATACCCCCAATATGAAATTATTTTAGATCTATCACTGCAATTAGCTTTCCAATGGAATTTCCATTGAATTTTTGTACAATTCCAATGACAGTTTTTCCAACGATTGAAATATGGTCCAAAAAAAATCCAATGGAAATTCAAGTAATTAAAATCTTTAAATCCACTAAAGTTCAAGTAATTTAATTTGAACTTTGTTGGATTAGCCAATGAAATTTTCCAATGAAAGCAATATTTATGAAATATTCGTTGGAATTTTCTGTAGATTACCTTACCGTTGAATTTTTCATTGCAATATAGAAATTTGTTGTATTCCTCTTAAACATTAATTTTTTATGTAGTATTTATTGATTAATTGTGTTTACAATTTTTCTATTAAAAATATATAAAACACATGAACTTTTTAGTTTCCTATTTTTTTTTTTCAGAAATCACTCATTATTTTATCTCAAGATTACCTATTAATTTACCAATTGAGTTATATTTCTTACATATTAAATATTTAAAAATTAGAATATTTCCTATTTTATATGTTCAATATGATATTTATATATTATATTAAAAAAAACTAATATAGCAAATAAAAAGTTATTTAAAATTAGAATAATAAAATTTTTTTTTTGGTAACTTACATGGATAAATGTACAAATAACTATTGTCTATCACATCAAATTTACACATAAAATTATAAGGAGAAAAAACAAACATTAACAACTCAGCTCGTTTACATCGATAAGTATATTTATAAAAGGTTTATATTTCTTCTATTAATTATAACATTTTTATTTATTACTTTGTTTCATATTTATTAGTACGTGTCACAACTTATTTATTTTTAATATTATTTATCATATTTAATATTTTTTTAAAATTTTTATCTTGTTCTTTTACATGTTCTTAACTGTAGATTTGTCAAAAAATGCATGATATAAAGTCTAGAATTGTTTCGACCATCTGTCTCATTATATTTCAATTATTTGTATATCTTATATTATATTATATTTAATTAAAATTTTTTTAATTTATACTACAAGTAAATATTTATAATTCATAAATTCATCAATAATATTGTCGAGTCAACTTTTGTTCATAAAATTTTAAAAAACATAATTATTTACAATTATTTGCTTATGTTGATAAATACAAATTTAAAAGTTCTACAAATACTTTTACTAATTATAATATTTTTATTTATTACTTTTTTTCATAGTTATTAGTAAGTATTACAACTTAGTTATAAATTTAATATTATTTATTAGAGTTATTATTTTTTTAACTTTAAACTGTTCTTTCATATGTATTTTAATATATATGTGTGTGTGTATAACTTTTAGGTTTGTTAAAAAATACATAAAATTAAAGTATAGCACTTTTTTGAATCATATGTCTTATTTATATCAATTAATTTTATATCTTTATATTATATTATATATAATTATAATCTTCTCATTTATACTCAAATATATAAATTTTTTATTTCGTACATTTTTTTCTTAAAAACTATTTTATTATAATAACACATATTAATAGATAGATGAATAATGATAATATATGAATATAATTATTTGATTAAAATAATTAATTTTCAATAGTAAATCATATTATGATTCTCGAGATATTTTTAATTTATTTATAGATAATTATATAGTTAAAATTAATCCATGTTGCTAAAGTGGTCTCTCATATGACGTGAAAACAAATAGATTAAGTTTTAGTATTATACAATCTTATAAAATTATTCTGGTCTTATGTATCGAAGAAATTGAATTGATTAGAAGTTTAGGTTGTAGAACAATCATTCAACAATTAATCTCGCATACTATTACACATTTTGTATAGGTTATTTTGAATATAATGTTTCTATACTTTGTGGTCGTTATGAGAAAAAAACAATATCGATTTCTAGTTTTATAAGTGTTTATTATGCTTTTTTTGTTAGATCAATTTTAATTTCTTTAAGGAACTTTTATATATTAGAGTTATGAAATGTGTTTATCAAAACAACAATTCTATATCCTATCAAACAGTTTTAGAGATATGTGGAAGAAAACAAATTCGTGGGAAATAATGGTGTCAAACCAACATATTGTAGTTGATTTTAGTAGTGTGGAATGATTTGTTCATGTATTTGTATTTAATTAATTAAATATTAGTTATAATTAAAAATATAAGATATGATGGACATTAGTATATTACTAATTTGCCATTAAAAACATGTCAAAGAAAGGGTTTATTAGGTAATTTATTTTAATATTTAAAAAATATGATGTGTATTAGGGTATTACTAATTTGTCATTAGAAAAATGCCAAAGTAAGGGTTTTTTAGGTAGTTCATATTTTTACAAAAACACTCGTCCTTTTAGAGTAGTATAGATAAACGTTTGTCCCTTTGCAAAACTATGTGGCACCTTCATTAGAACTCATCGTATTTATTTGGGTTAGCCAAGTCAAGTCTGAGTTGAGCTAACCAATTACAATCGGTTAGATAGAGAATCGAGTTGTTGACCGGTAAGATTCTTACGAAAAAATTATTTATTAGCGAACCGCGGTCAGTTAAATCGGACAAAAACAGTCAACACTGACCAAAAGTTATCTGTTTGAGTTTGTTGGATTGATTGAGATTCTTTAAAAATAACTATTATTTTTAATATATTAAAAATATTTTAAGTATAAATAAAAATACATATCCAAATATAACGAACATGAATTAATTATTTATCAATTAAATTAAGTATTTGAATTTTTTGAATAAACTAAATATTAATTAATATAATATTTTTACATATAAAATTCATCACAAATATTATATATAATAATAATATTAATATATTGGTTTAAATATGAATAAGTAAACCAATAAGTTCGGCTTCCTTTATTTTTTCATGGTGTAAGTCTTTCTAAACTCTTCCAACTGAATATTAAGGAGAACACTTCACCCTCTTCTTACAAATAAGACTGACTTGACCAAAAATTACAAATTATAATATCCCGACATTTTCGACCCATGTAGTTTGACATCCGACAAGATGAAGAAGTACATTGAGTTTGCTTGGAATGAATAAATACAATTTACACTCGTCTCACTCACCCAATTAATAATATTGTAAATTATTATACTCGTTTTATAGTTNAAAGACTTTACCTCGTCTTTATATACAACATGAGAAGACTTTAGTGATATTACCAGCCAACCTGAAAATTTCCACGAAGCTCTTAACTAAGGCATTGCCCCCACAACACAATAAAGTCCATAAGCCCCAACTCACATCTACAAAACAGAGGCAAAGTGTCAAACTCCACTTTGAAACTTTACAAGGGACCGAACATAATCGAATAAAATATGACGAGAGAGTACGACAATTGGGAGCGGCTCGTTCGAGCCGCCCTCCGTCGAGAGGAGCTCTGGCGGCTTTGCCACGACCACTCGAGGACTCCTAGCGGCGGCTCCACGTCAACAGCTTCACCTGGCTCAACCTCCCCTGCCCCCGAGACTCCACCGGGCCACCGAGCCCAATCACTCCTGAGCGACCCATTGGGCCGACCCGGCCCAAAGAAGGACGACAAGCAAATAATCATGATGAGGAGAAAGAAATCGATCATCCGTTTGGACCGTTGGATCTTGACACGTTGGCTTTCGGGCACTTTTACTAGTAGCAAGGTTGCGGAGGAAGTCCCGGACAGGCGCTAAATCGATTTTAGTACATCTATTATGTGACTGATTGATATTATTAGCAGCTGCCTTGGTATGTCAATTGTTGTTAACTTGTGTCTAGTTTTATTAAAGATTGGTTATTATTATTTTTTTCTTTTCTTTCAATAGCTTGTAATTTAACTATTTAAGCATTATATTCAATAATAACTTTTTTTTTTTCCCTCTTAAAAGTGATTTAAGGTATAGTACGACAACTATTAGGCAGACATGCTCTTATATCCATGCTTTTATATTCAAAACATCACAACTGTAAATGTATTATAACATATTATAAATAGAAGTATACGATTTCAAAAGATAAGTAATAATTTTTTTCATTCACGAGTTTTGACAAATCGATTCATCTAATTTTACCAGGATTCAAGAATTTGTGTTGTGCAAAAATATCAAATTCTTAATAGCCCCACCATTTTGAAAGCCATTAGCTGTAAGCCTTTTAATTATCTCCACCTGACAGAAATGTGAACGGGTTTAAATGGCAAGTTGAAGATTCTATCTTTTGATCTTTCTCAATCTAATTAACATTCATGACGGCATTGTGGTTCAATTATTGAGATATATATGGGTGGCAATGGTCAATGTCACACCTAACCTTTTCACCATTGAAATCAAATATTTTCTTTCATTAACTTTCAATTTTTAAAAAAATAAATGTTACTCTTTATCATAAATCATATATTCACCATTTCTTTTTTGGGTTCTCAATTCTTTAGTCTTGTTATGAGTCCAAAAGGCACATTCAATATCTTAATTTGATGTGTGATCGAGTATGGGAAGGACTTACGACAACTGGGGAAGGTTAGTAGAGGTCGTTATGCTTCGAGAAAAGCTTCGAAACCTTAGTTTATCCGAATCGAGGAGCCCAAGCACGCGATCATCGGATTCAGATTATAGTTCTCTCTCGAGTTCTTATTGGTTTGATGAGAGCTCATCCTATAGAGCAACTCCATCGCCTTTAAAAAGTAGCGGAAAACGAAAGGTGGCCTCAAAAAGAAGAGTTAATGCTATGTGGAAAGGCCTATCGATCTTTGTAAGATTGTTGCTTGTGAAAGAAATGATGAGTAACAAAATATTTGGATTTTTAATTGCTAGTTATCAAATTTGAAAAGATTGATTAATTATTTTGGATTTGATATAGGGTGGTTTCTCTCACAAGAAGGATAATGATAGAGAGGAAGGAGAACTCAAGTGGCTTGAAGTTCACAAAACATTACACGGCCCTGAAATCGCAAGGTTCGTCACAGATAGAGTTAAATTAAACAAGCCGCTCGTCATCTCGGCTTGGCTCATTTGATAAATGAGTTGAGCTCGAGCTCACTTAAAGCTCGTTTGGTTAACTAGCCGAGCATTGCTCAATAAGGCTTGATTTATATGTAATTTTCTATAGTTCGGTTCTTTAAGGCTCGATTTCGACTTATTAATATTGAGAAACAAGTCGAGCTCAGTTCGTTTCCACCACTAAAATTACACACACAAACATGTAAATATATCTTTTGAAAGAAAAGTTGGGTTTTGTTGTGATATGGCTAAACATCATGAGGTATTTTTTGTTATTAACGGTTCTATTTTTCTTTGTTTTAATATCTCTTAGGCTTCAAGAATTGCACACCTTAAAGGGCCACATAAGTAGACTTGTGAAGGCAAAAGGGGTCGATATTGATTCTATTCCTCATTACCACACAATATGAAGGATCTAACTCGGCATAACATGGACTATTGAAGTTATATAGATATGGCAAGACGAACGAATGATGAGTCATAACCGTTGGGCATATCGTGTTGTCATACTTTTATAACAATAGTGTATACTAATTCGAGATTTTGTGACCTTTTAGCCATATATCCACCTGTAGGATATGTTAATCTTGTGTCATATCAGCTGATGGACATATTAATTAACTTGTACTTATTAGGTATGAGAGTGAGACTACTGCTATCTATGAAATATTATTTATATATATTATTTTTTTAATGATGTGACATACCTTCTTGTTATACTTTTATAACCATAATGAGTACTAATTCAAGATCTCGTGATCTAATTGTAGCCATGTATCTACATGTGTGGTATATTAGTCTTCTACATATTAGCTCTTGCTCCCTGGGTAGGAGAGTGAGACTAGTATCATGTATGAAATGTTTTTATTTATATTAACTTTTATATAATGACATTTAAATTTAAAAGTATACATATATATACTGATAAAGTATAACATCATAACTATTAGATCCACCCAGTTTTGCTATAGAATCATCGGATGGTTCGACTTATGGAGCCATCCACACTTATTGAGTATAGTATATTGACACGTGTTCTACAATAAATACACTTTGGACAGGTGTCAATACATTAAGTGGTGGATGACTCCATAGTATATTTGTAGATCCACCTATTTCTAACTTTACTGATCCTATATTAATTCTTCACTTTTTTGTTCTATTCCAAAATACTTTTTCTTTTCACAAAGAAAGGATAAATCTATAGGGAAGGATTTTTCATATATCCTACCATGGTGCATGGAAAAGATTCCGATTCAACAAATAATGGGATTCTAAGGACCAATTGAGGGTTATGTGAGTTACAAGTATAATTAAGAAAAATGTATAAAAATAAAAATATACGTTTAATAATATAATCTAAAAATAAAAACACGTCATGTTATATCATATATTTTTGTTAGTCCAACTTAAAATGAGAATTTATAAAAAATAAAAGGAATGTCTAATTACTCAACAATCTAGGAGTACAAACGAGTCGAAGCGAGTTGGGCATATATGATACGTGATAAATCTTGTATAATTTTGTGGTTTAATTTACATATTTGGATATTAGATTTTAGTGTGTTATTCAAGTTTTCTCACGTATTTTATTTTGTGAACGGACATACACCAATATTCGAAATTTGTGTTTATTTTGCAGATTATTACACTTAGTGATAGACATTGATGAGGTGGAAGCTGTGTAAGCAATGACATGGATTTAAATTTATTTGGCCAAGTAATTAAAGAAAAAAAATAGAAGAAAAGAAGAGGAGGACTCTTGGTTGTTGTTGGGACGGAATTTGAGGACATTAATTAGGGAATTTAATTTCCTATGGAGTGAACTCTCATTTTATCTCAATAGTTTGGAGCAAAATGCACTTACGTGGCATGATGGGAAGAAGAATTTGTTTTGAAGTGGACTCTTAATTAATTGGGAGACTTATGTTTAAGAAAGGAATTAATTAAAAAGAGGAAAAAGGCTGGGACTCGAAGGAGGCGACTCTCTGGAGGCGTGATCTTGAGGATTTATTTGCTTGGAGTTCATTGGGCCCGAATGATTTACTAAGGGAGCTTGTTATTTATTTTTATATTTTATTTTTTATTTTTTATTTTGATTGAAGACCATGAATGTTAGTATTTATTTTTATCATTTAGCTATGAGTAGCTAAACATTTATTCGGTTCTAGGGACGTTGAACTCTCGATGACTATGTTCGATTAATGCAATTTATTTCGTTTTACTCGTCGTATAAAATTGTTTTTGTTATTCTAGTTTCATGTCATAATGTGTGATTTTTAATTTAGCTTGATCACCTAAGTTAGGAATTGCATGTAAATTGCTAGAGTTGAGGCTTCGATCCGTAATTGTCGTCGTTCTTAATTCAATTGTAGCAACTAACAGTCGTGCATTGTTAGGGATAGCACAACATAAGTTACATGAACCGAGCTTATGTGTTTGTGGCTTAGATCGGTCTATTTCCTAGATTTTAATGCGACTAGTGGGTTAAATTAGGAGAGCTTATTCCGAGTTATTCGCTAGTTAGAATTAATTGAAGAGCGTGTTTCGATTAAGGAAAATTAAGGGAAAATTCGGGTAGCAGAGCATATTGCTATCTAGGACCAGTAGTTTTAGAAGACGAGTGAAATTTGATAAATGCATTAATTGGGCTAGTTATTCGAGGGTGTAGACCGACCTGGGACCGATTCCATTCTCATCTTTGCTAAATTATTTGTTTATTTTCGGTTTCATCATCATTTGCATTCTAGTCATTTATTTCTAGTTCTAGTTCATATTTTTGCTTTGCGAGTATTTTAGTTTCAAATCAAACCCCCCCATTTTTATTATAATCTAATTAGTATAATAAATTCACTGTTTATACCACACTCCCTGTGGGATCGACCCTTGCTCGCCACTACTACTTGTTAGTAGGGGTAAGTTAGGAAAAATTATAAATTCAAATTTGCCGTGTAACGACATGCGGTCAATATACCTTGTGAGTGCAGATCGAACTTTTTTTTTCACTGCTCGAGCTCGACGAGCCATGTAAAGTGGTGTTCGGTTCAACTCGTGAAAAAAATGAGAATGCTCGAGCTCGATTTGAGTTAGGCTTGAAATTTTAATAACTAAATTTTAAAATAAAGGTACTATTTTTAATCTAAATAGACAATTTTATTATCAGTGTTCTAAATTCTTGATAATTAAGCTACATGAAATATTTATGTAAATCAAAAGTCAAAGAGCTCGTCAAACTTACGAGCCTTCAGTCGAGATTGGAACTCGAGTTTGATCGAGCTTGACTCAAGCATTAACTCGAACGCTTGCGAGAAGCTCGATTAGTTTGTAGCCCTACATAGCTCGATTAGTTTGTAGCCTACATCTGGACTATAAAGAAAACTCATTTTCTTATTTACATTTCCCTTTGCCAAAAAAAAACAGAATTTTCTCCCTTAACTTGCGCAGGCAGGAGGATCCCACCTTTCTCTCAGGTAAATTCAAGTCCAATTTTTTTCCCATCTGTTACGTTATTTTGTGCGATTTTTGTGGAACAATATAGATCTACTTTTCCTTTCTTTGTATTGTTGGTTTCATTTTCTTTTTGCATTTTGGATCACTAGAATCGCTTATGGCTTCAAAGCGGATCTTGAAGGAGCTCAAGGATCTTCAGAAGGATCCTCCTACCTCTTGCAGCGCTGGTACGCAGCTAACATTCGATTGAAAAATCTGAATTTAATTTAGAAGCTTTGATGAGGACATAATTTCGAATTGTTTTGGTAAAGTTTCGTGTTTTTTTTTTTTGGTTTGGTGCCCTTTTTGGAAAATGTTTCGATTCTTTATTTTTCCACTTGTGTTGTTGGTTTTTGCTAATTTTTGTGGTGTTTTTGTTTTGGGATAATGTTTCTTTGTTGTGATCTTCAAGAAGAAAACTTGGGTCTATCAATCCACCATTAATTTTAGGAGAATAATAATGCTAGTTCTAATTGATGTGCAGCAGTATTAATAGTAGCCCCTCATCTTTATAGGTGAATGTTGTTTATCTCTAGCCCGAATTATGTCCCTTTACCCTTAACTGTATTGTGTCTTTGGTGTTGGATTTTTGTTGAACAATTGTAGAATTTTTCATTTTTTTTCTTCTTTCATCAATGGGTCTGGTATCCGATTTCGGGATTTTGTTCCCAAGTTGAAATTTTTAGGTACTGTGTGAAAATTTTTACGATGTACGTAGATCGAAGATCATGTTAATAGAATTCCGACCATTTGAAGTAGGAATAATGAGTTCTAATTTGGGTTTAATGATGAGCTTGGGAGTGACTCGAACTATGTCGGTTGTTTTCTGATCTTTGTTTAGCTTTATACCATATATATTGTTTCTTAGGTGTACAGGATAATGAACTTTACACAGGATTTTGATTTTAACAAGATGATTTATCAGGATTACCTGTAGACACTATTCATCGTTTAGCATTTTCCTTTTAACTAGAACCTAAATTGTAATACAATGCGAATTGAGAATTCTGCAAATCATACAGATGAAAAAAAAAGCTTGCTAATATATGAATAGCTTCTGTGTCTTTATCCCACTGATTTAGTTGTGCTCAAAACTTAATCATCTGCGTTCATCCAGTTTCATTTGCTGTTATAAT